TGAACACGCCCTTTTCCGAATTCAGCCGAGCCATCAACGAGAACGTGGACTTGTTGTTGGAAGAACGCTTCACCGAAAATGTGAAGACGTTTATAGACATTATGTGGTTCCATTCATTCGTAGCCATAGAGAACCACATAATCGAAAATCGCGACGATCTAGACATCAAAGTGACAAGGAGTGATTTCACAACTGCTACAGGCAAGTTGCATCAAGTATTTAACTCGGAAGAATTTTCTCGACATGTATCGGGTTTATTTAACGTTTCCCCTTGTGTAACAGCCCAGCGGTCCATCAGTGTCGATCTAGGGATGGCAGTGTACTTCAAATTCCTAGAGCACCTTGTACAACTTTCAAGAAAGGAATACCAACAAGAAGTGGTTGCGTTTAACGTAGACGACATGTCAGCAGCTGGTAGGGCAAAAGTTCGTCATGTTGGTGGCTGGGCCGTTCGAAAAGTTCTTGAGAAATCAGGAAGGTACGTACGGGTCAATATCTGTTCTGAAAATTCCGAAACAATGGCATCGATGCGGCGACACCACAGTATCTGCGAACTTATTGAAGAATCCCTGGTTGGAGCTGTGGCAGTGTTGGAGGAGGAGAGCCAGCACAAAGACACCCTGCAGGTGACAGAGGCACAGCAATATAGAGAAAGAAGACTGATACATATAGAGGATGCTGTCCACAAATTCTTCATGTACCTAGAGAAACGAGTTCATTTGTTAAACGATCATATGTTGCGCAGAGAGGGAGCAAATATGGTCAAAGAGGCCCACCGAAAGCTGATCCAAGACGACGAAATAAGTTTGAAATGGCAACAGTGTTTCAAGAGCGAGGATGTAAAGGAAAAGAAGGTGCAGATAATCGTAAAACAATCAATCCACTTGGAATTTTGCTATCTTTAATTTTCTTTCACTTATTGTAACTCATTCATGTTCCTTTTTTAGGATTTAATACGGAATATTTTAGGATCTGTCATGGACGCTATTTGCACATGGGAACAGCGCAGTACTTGCGGGACTATCGAAGGAGCTTCCAACTTAAAAAGAGCTCAGAATTGAGAAAACGAGTCCTTCAGCGACAGAGAAAGAATCAAGAGAAGTCAGACAGCGTATCATTCGAGGTAAAATAAGTGTACTGTAATTTTAGAGCACCCACCTTGTCTCGCAAGTGAAAGTGGGATTCCGTTTAGTGTGCCTTTACATGAAGGGGTTCTCACTGAGAGTATTCGGTAATTGGGCGTTGAGAATTAACTCGCGTCTTGGATATGACTTCGACTTTCAAAGCTATTTTTTTGGAGGCTATTAGTGACTCCGGTGACAATAAACACGTTATTGCTCCCGCAGGGATTTCGCTTAGAAGGCGAAATCCCGAGGAAGCACTCTAGTAGCTCGCGCGCAAATTAAGGAAAGCACTTACAGTACTTTCAGAGGGGCCGCGAGGAATCGCTATAGTAGGTTAATGATGACGTTTTCTATTGTTCGCGCCCGCAAGTAAGAGATGGTTTAAGGATGACGTAAAACATACGGTAGTATCACAGTGGTTATCAGTGACATTCTGTGGAGCAGCTGTTTTGAAAGTGATGGACCAAAATTAAAGACACTCGTTAAGCACAGATGAAGTTATAAGGTGTGTATAAACACTTGGAGAGACACGAGACACAAATCTTTGATTGGAAACAATTTGCCAGGCACTCTTCCTCGATCTATTTGCGGAAATAAGACTCAGTCCCAAAAAACTGAAACAAGCAAGACTAGTGAATCAACGGCTAGATTATCACTAGCAGAACGAAGGTCCGCGATTACAGAAATTGGAGGACAATCAAATGAACCGTTTGTAAAATGAAAGAGAGAAATACTAGGCAAAAATTCCAACTTCTAATTAAATCTTTTCTTATGCTTTAGAAAAAATTTAATAATTCTCCACACTGAGAATGTTTTCAGATCAAACCTGTGTAAATTGAACTGAAACTGTGCATGGAACCTTTCGTTTCCGGTTTTAACTTTCACCTATTTTATAGAGAATGTGTGAAAATCTTCATTATGAATCGGCCATGTAATATCCTCTATTTATTAAGTATTTTTATTCCTAAACACAAAGGGAAATAAAAGGTTAGAAGTCCGCACAGCCCCATACACTTATTATGGATACATTTTATGCCTCCATTCATAACAACTATCTGTGTGAAATGCAATGTTTAATGATGAAATTGCTGCTTGCAAAGTAAATGTATGCGGTTGTACAGTAAGTATAAAGTATGGAAAAAGTAGCAAATTGAACCACAACATTTACCGAATGCTCATGTATATTTTATTGACAGGATATTCTCAAGGACCGGTCAGAACAGAAGGTTTCTTCGCATGGGCGGCTGATACATTTTATTGGCAAGTACAATGATGACCCAAGTGTCTTTGCCCGTGTTTATACAAGAGCCCAATTACTGTTGCTTTGTGAGGCCTATGAGGCCCCTGTCAGACGGCGTGATACCAAGATAGAATTGGCTAAAATTCTCATTGAAGCCTTAAAGGGGACAAGATCAATACCGTTTACTGTTCCAGTGGATGACAGGGAGTTCCAGGTCGTAGAGACAGTGCATGATGAAGAACATGGTGGACTGCGTATGCGGTTCAGGATAGCAGGTAGCTCCATTGGAACATTCAATCAAGGCCAATAAATTACACTCTACTCAGTTTTAGCGGTTTTGCGCCTTTTTCCGGTTGGCATTGAACAAGCTGAAGAAGAATGTTCATTAGCTGCTCCAACATTGCTTTTGGGGCTGATGGTCGTTTGGCCAAAACGAATGGAGTTCTGTGTTGATTCCTGTTGCAGATAGGTTGGATTGTTATTTCGACCATTACATGATCTTACTTGACAAAAGTGATTTTCTACACCATCCTGGTTGATTATTGCAGGTTTAATTATGGATTGTGGAAATTGTGCTTGTTTCACTGCAACCATGGAACCAAAACCCAGGCACATAGATTGCAAGTCAAACCATAGTTTAGAAGAAACAAATTGGTTGTTGTTTTCTGAGCTTTCACTTCTCCAATCATTCATAAATTTGTGAAATTCATTAAGTTGTCCAAGGCAAGGATCTGCACTTGATCTGATCACTAGTTTGTCATTAAAAAGATTAACCAGTTTGGATGTATGAACCAACAATGCTATTGTGCTGTCGAGGTGAGAGCTGTCTTTTCCTTGTCCCATCATGTTCTCTTGGTATTTCTGTTGAAATGATCATCATAGAAAAGGAAACCTTCAAATGTTTATTAATTCAAAACATTGATACAACAATATTTTAACTTCGTAAGAAATTTCATCCTGATTTTGTTGATTGTATTTTTTTAATTAATATAGTTTTTTCATTAATATTGGGTTATTTCTTTCCGAGAGCGTTCATTTCAATGTCATGTCTTGACAAACTACGCACCTTCAGTCACTTCAACAGCTTGTAGCAATTTCAGTATTTCCAATAGGAAACTGCTCTGCAAATCTCACCTAATAATGGCACTTAAATCAAAGTTAAGGTTTGAGCTGTCTTTCACCTGCATTAAAAATAGCATCTTATCGTCAAGTACATTTTCGGCTAAATTATTTCTCATTTTTGAGGCTGGGTCAAGATTGAAATGTTGGTCAGTTAACTTTTCATGCAGAGGAAGACTGAAGGACTTCTGATCCCAGTTGAAGGCATCTTTGAAATACTGCCAGTTCACATTCTCGCCCTTTATCATTAGACATCGGGGTTTACCACTTGCATTGCTCTTTTCTATATTGTTCCTGATCTTCTTTATGTTGTGCTGAGAGAAAAAAAATAAATTAATATGTATAAGGACCACAGTACATGTCAATTATTGTAATTTTAAAAGTTCAACTTCACTGTAACAAACCTCTTTATAAATAAGCCCTCCAAACGACATACTTTTCCCAAGTGAGGGAAAATGTAACACATTAAGAACCTAGTTTCAAAATGTTATTCACTTTGTAGCCATTTAGTTCTACTATACACATAGCCTAGGTTGGTTCTTTCTGGTTGAAACTGACTTTGAGAAATAGTAAAGTATAGATTGTTGCTATATCTTTGGAGAGGAATAAATTTTGTGCCTAAATCTACCTTTGGATCCATGACAAAAACCATTGGTGTTCCAGTGTGGATGTTTGAAGTTATAAACTTATCCTTCACAGGATCCCTTCCTCTAAAGTGCATTCTGATAAACTGTCTGTTGCAGTCTGCTCCATCCATAATACTCCACTATATCCTGAAGTGGACAGAAAGAATTAGAAAGACAATTTTTTAGATTGGAGTTGAAATCTAATTTGTTATCATAGCTGTGTTTTATAGTTAGTGAATGTTTTGGTTGTGGGTAATTTGCCCAAATTCAATGAAAAATAATTTATTTTCACTATTTTTGACATTAGCACCTTGGAAAGCATTTTCAAGATGTAATTCCAAGAAGAGTGCCCTGCTATGATTCATAAAAAATGTAGACCATGTTGATTCACATGGTGCTAATGTAATCCAAAAAAACAAAAAAATTAAAAGTTGAGCATCCTGGAATTCACTTACATGCCTTCACTTCTTTCTTAGAGCACATCCATGCTAACTAGGGCCTGACTTTTTTTTCTGAATGCCTGTTACTATATTATAATTATTTTCATATATTGGTTTCATCGATTCCGGAATCTCCAGATAAGGACATTAAACTCAGGGAAAGAAAGTGGTAAGTTCAGTTTTGATTCTGATATGATGTGGCTAGGATCTTTTCTTATAAGTGGGTAAAGATTTTAGAGTGCTCCAAAGCAATTCAAATTGGCCGTCATCAATTACATGAATTGGTTGGATTGCTCAACCCCATTTGTTGTTTTAAAATTGACATCAATCTTTCACTATCCTATTAATGTATGTCGTTGTAAAAAATGATAATTTAATGTACTGTTATGTTGTTCTAGGATGCTAAAGTAGAGGCATGCATATATGTCAAGAAACATCACAAGTCCGCAGC